TATATCTTTACCCTATATAAAGAATTAGAAAGGATTCCTAAAATGATAATAGTAGGCTTCGCCGATAACACGAATATTATTGCCTTTAGTAGGATAAAGGTATAGACACGGTAAAGCCTCGCCACCGCGTAGCGGATATACCTAGACTAAGAAATAGCGAGCGGACTATAGTTCGAAGTAGCTAAGTACGTCTATATCCCTTTTACGAAGTCACGCTAACCCTTACCTACCCCGCTCCCCCTTAGTGCTATTTCGGTGCCAGGATGCGGAGGCGATAAGGCTTTTAGGCGTTTAGCTTAGTAGGAAGCTTAACTTCCAGCGAAAGACTCAAAAGGTAAAGAGCTGCCTAGCCACCTTAATATACGCCCTCTTAAGGCTTAGCGCGGTAGCGTAGGGGTATAGCTTCGTAGACGTAAGGAGACTATACCTTATAGTTATACGACTGGTAATCGCCTATTTCGCCTTAACCGTTTATAAGATAAGGGCCGGCCCCCGGCACGGCCCCGTAGCGGCACTTATAGCGGTATAGAACTGATACCTCTAACTAGTAGCCGGAGCCTATAAAGCTATACCGGTTAGGGTCCTCGAAAAAAAGACCTTTATCCCCCCCCTTAACCTATACCTCTTAAGCCTAAATGCCTAAAAGATCCTTTAGATATAAGAAGAAGGGATAGAAGATAAGATATTAGCCGGAGTATACGCCGCGGCGAGAGCCTTAGCGGCACCGAACCTATACTATACGACCTATACCGCCCTCGCGTGGACGGTATAGCTTACCGCCCTAACGGCCTAGGCCGGAACCTCGCCCCCGCGGAAGGCCCTTATAAGGGAATAGGGTTAAGCCTAGGCGGAAGCACGATAGCCCTATACCTACGCCGTAGCGGTATTAAGCCGCCCCCGATACGATACTCCCTCCGGAAATATAGAGGGCTCCTTAAACTATAGAGCTCTGCACTTACCCAGATTAGATTAGAAAAACTAGGCCTACAGGTATTCTTAGCTAAAGCGAAGCGAGGGTGCCGGGCTTCCTTTTACCGCGGTGCCTTTACGGGGATAGAGGGACGGAAACGGCGGAGTATATAGTACTCTAATACTAGGAGGTAGCCGCGGAGGACTATAGGGGCCTTTTCGGTACTATAGGGAGGCCGCTCACGACTAGAGGAGACTTATATAATATACTAGAATATAACACCAAAGCCGGGGCAGTTATAAGGTGGTTTCTATAACGGAAAAGGCTTAAGGACTTTCGCCTCACCCTTAAAGTTATAGAGGCCTACGAAAATAGAGGTAATACCGAAGCGGGACCGGAGCGGAGGCATTATAACGCGGCGGGTCTATTAAATATTAATAGGGGTCCTATAAGCCGGGACCCCGGCGGTATTAGCTTAGCGCTAAGGGGGGCTATTAGTAGCTACTAGCTATTATCGCCCTAGTTATTATCGTCCTTATCGTCCTCGGTAACGTTAACACTATTCTCGATATATTCTAGGTCCTGCTAGGACCGGTTAGCTAACTACCGCTACTATAGTACCGTAGGGAGACCGAAAAGGGGCCACTTATAAGGTACTCTAGAATAAGGTCTATCTTACCCTTTAGACGTCTTATCTAATAAGATAATTCCTATACCTCCACCGACGCGAGGCCGCCACGGCTATAACCGGAAGGCAGCGCCCGGTTTAGGGCCCGGCTAAAAGACCGGGACGCCGTCCCTAAACGCTCCTTAGCCTATAGCTTATTAGTAGGGGACTACTACGGTATTAAAGGGGGAGATTAATAGTAGCGATACCGTTATTACCGGCGGCCTTTACTACTATATACGTCCTATAAAGATCTATAAGACGCTACTGCTATTTTTTAGTAGCGGCGGGGACTTAGAAGAAAATTAGTATATACCACTATAATACACCTATAACACCACGACTATATCGACACGACTTATATCCTTACACGGACACCGGCTATTAGTATACTAAAAATAAACTACCCCTATACCCGTAGTATTAGAGTAGGCCTCTATATCGTCCGGGTATATACCTAGGCGCTTACTATAACGAATATAACTACCCTAGGTTAGCTACCGCGGTACCGCCCCGACACCACTAAGGAATATATACGGTATAACCCGAACTAAGCCCTTTTTATACCGGTTATAATTATTATTAGTATTAGTATTAGGAGACGATATCTACGACTATTAGCACGCTACCACCGAGGCACCGCTACGCTACTAGGAGAACTTATATTATACTACTACTACCGCTTAATTATTCGTATATATAAATTAATACTATATTACCTAGTTAACCCTACGCTACCACGCTACCGCGGCGTTACCCACTAAGCACTTATAGTCTAGTTATAATAGGAAAATAAATAAGGGAAACTAGAGGGTTTTACTATTAGTATAGAGCCGTAACGATAAGCCTACGGCACTATAAGCAGGAATAGATCGGGAGAAAACCTATAACGAACTTATTAGCGTTATAGGAGGAAGAGAGAGGGAAAAGAGGTATAAAGACCTCGAGGGCTATTAACTATCTAATTCTATAATAGGGTAAAGCTCTATTCCCCTTACCTGCCGCTGGATATAGCAGGAACCTACCTAAGGGAGGCAGGAGGCGCCTGCCTCCCTTACTCTCTTTATTAACCGAGTAGAAGGAATAAAAGGTATAATCCTTAGGGATATAGGGAGGCCGAGGCTAAAGGGCTATAGCCTCCGTACCGCGGAGGCGCGGCGGTACCCCCTTAGCCCTTACTCTATCGCTAATAATCGGCTTAGACTAACCTACCTAACCACTAGCCTACTATACTTCCCGTTAGCTATTAGCCTAGAGGTGCGATCCAGATATATAGCAGAGACGAACCGGGGCTATATCGGCCCCGTAGCGGCACTACGCCACCTAAGGAAGTGTATAGGGGTTTTCCCCGGGTTTTACCCGGGTTTTCCCCCCTATAGCCACCCGAGAAGGACCGTATAGCCTAGAAAGGCTCCTATAGATTAGTTAGGATAGCGGAGTAAGATCGATAATAATAATAATAATAATATAATAAAGCTATCGTTAAAAGGCAGGGGTAAGGGGGCAGGGTAGGGGGTAGGAGTAGTAGGTAGGTAGGTTACGTAGTAGGCGGTATAGTTATTCTGCCGTGTGACTCTACGATTATTGGGATCTTCTTCTTTTCTACAGCTTTAAGATCTTCTTCTTCCTTTTCTATATAAAGCCCTCCTATAATAACAGCCCTCCTATAATAATAGCCATCCTATAATAATAGCCGTCCTATAATAATAGTAAAGGTAGGCAGATTCCCTCCACGATATCGTGACGAAAAGCTGACTTCCTCTATAGTAATAGTGCCTCTTCTATATAGCAGTCCCTCTTCTATAGTAATAGTATTCGTGAGCGTATTTTAGGATAAGGACTTATTTTCCTAGAGCGCCTAAGGCAGGCATAGATATAAAGTCTAATTAAATCGTATTTATATATATTTATATAAATTTTATACTAGTAATATATCTTATCCGTACTTACGTCTTATTAGCTATACTACCTCCGGGCTAAAGTTAGGATAGTGTTATTTCTAAGGATAGTCTAATATCTAAGGATAGCCATATATTTTATCGAATTTAATAGAGCAATAATAGGCTATAATCCAAGGATAACTAACGCCTAGGGACTCCCGGTAAGGTAGGTGCCTTCAGGTAAGGGGTAATAATTACGGAGTACCAAGTATCAGAATCAAGGGTCCAAACACCCACGCTTAGACTACCTACCCGGTTAGAGGGGAGTATAGGTCAGAGCTCGAACAGAGAATTTTGCACTAACCAGAGCCAGGACCGAGATATCGCTGTCAACATAATGTGCTAAGACTTGCGACATCTGACCAGTCCATCGGGCTCTAACCTATAACCAGCCAAACCCGGGTAGGTATCCGTATAGATAAATCCTGATATACGAGATATGACCGCAACGATGAAGCTCCTACTATCACTGAAATCGCCAGATATCCGCAACCTCAATGCTGCAATGGCCATAGATCTCTTCTTAGGGGTCACCCCGCACCAGTGAGCATGACATCATGCACAGGACATACTGTACTAGACCCCCACGTCCCCAATACTGCCCGGTGAACTTACCATCACCATAGCCCCATGTGTCGACGAAGAGATCACTCCAAGACCAGGCAGAGCTCATTTATATGTAATGGCGCCTGACATCACCGACGGAAAGTGGTAACGAGTCTTCTGGGGCGGTCTATATGTGCTGCGCGTTGACGTGCCTCATACAAAGTCCAACCCGGAGAGACGATACGAGTGCTATTACCTATCTGTCGGCGGCACACACCACACACCACACACCACCCACTCGCCATCCCGTATCTGCTATGAATCGTGTTCATGCACCTTGCTCGCCTATTATTAATTGTGTTTCCATTAAGTTATCGAGCGGAATCGGTCGTCATTCCAAGCCCTTGGATGTATTCCGTATGAACAACCTTCGCCGGTATGCCTTGCCTGCTCCTCCCAAAGTATGTACTATGTACCCGCCAAAGAGAAGGGCCCTTTTAAGCCCTTTTAAGGTCTGTCGTCGCTGTCGATGAACTGCCTCCAGGTTTCGAGCCCCAATACCCGGTTGGGTTGCGCTCGAGTCAGACCAACCCGAAAACGGGCATGCCGGCCCGACTTTATGACCTCAACCTGTAGAATGAAACTAACGAAGAATGCCACATCACACCCTCATTAGCACTACTTAACTTCCGACCCCAAGCTATAGAGAACAGCCGTGTCACTCTCGAGCTGCACAGCATTGCCCAGGGAATGTATTGCTCATGATCGTCGTCCAGACAGGCTTCCCCGTTCACCTGAATGTCCGTGGGGATACGTCTCAAGTCGAGAGAAGAAGAAAAAAAAGGCAAAGAAAGAACAAGAAAAAAAGAAAGGGTGCAAAAAGATGCAATCGAAGGCAAGTTGAAAGAGTAAGGACATTGTAACAGAGCACCAGTTGCTACTCCGATTTGGTTGTGACAGCCCTTCTCTTCTCCTTGAGGGTGTCTGCCCTGCGGCCCCGGTACCTAGTATTCAAGACCTTGTCCCAGAAAGTAAAAAAAGGCTGAGAAAAGTTCGTTTTGATCCCCCAGGTTTGGTGGTGAATGTCGTGGTAAGCGGCATTGTTGCTCGTCAAGTGTTGAAGGGGGTCCCAAGGAAGAGAATATCCGCAGTGGTCATCCACAGTCTTGACAGTGGACAGACAAAAGAACAAAACCCCGAGTCTCTGGGTCATTCCAGTTGCCTTGTACGCGAGCCCTGCTCCCAAGGTATCGAGGAGGAAACCCTCAACGGGATGGTTGTAAAGAGCCCCGTATGCGTATGGCACGTAAAGTCGATGATGTCGAGAGTGGAAAGTGGCTAGTACACCCAGTTAGTCCTGGTCGGTCACGGTGCCGTGGGGCAAGAACTCGCGACTGCACTTACTGTACAACCACTTGTTGACATGCATCAAACGGTGGAGGAAATATTGCCATGTATCCAAAATCGCGGTTGCCGCAAAAAGCTGAAGTCCTGGCACCAGTACCCAGTGGATGGTTTTTGCCATCCGCATCTCCCAGGGAGCGAAGACAGGAACAGGACTCGATCCATGTAGAGAGGTCGTGGTAAGAAACGGATAGTGCCCGCCGGCTAGTGCGCCTGCAATGAGTGGATGGGAGGCGGCCATGTTCTTGGAAATAGCGGCTGCATTGAGACCCAGCAACCCGAGGACGGCTGGAAGGGCACGTTGAGCAACGCGTATTCTCGTAGCCCAGACGGCAACATCGTAGTCCTCCTTGCCAATCATCTGTCTCTCCTCGGTTGCGTCGAGGAAGAGAGACATAGCAATCTGAATAATCTGTTGGATGACGACGTCGCGAGCAACTTCGTAACGGGATACATGATTTCGCTTCGTGATCTCCTCTGGCGTATGCAGGCGGTATTGGGGCCAAATGTCATACACATCGATGACATGAAAGACCATGGAGACAATCCAGTAAATGGCGATGGGAAGAATGGGGAAAAGGTAGGCATCGGGAATCCCAGGGACGAGGTCGGGTATCGGCGCAAGAAAAAAAGAGGGCAGCGGCGGGAGCTCGGCTGTGGACGAAGACGAGTTGGTCGAGATCATGGCCACGGATGCCATCGTCTGGATTGCCATCCACGAACGACGATATGTATAAGAAACACTTCTTGGTTTAGGCTGGCGAACGCGAAGAAGAGAGCGGATGTAACTTCGGTATTAAAAGGCTGGACTAGGAGGAGTAAATAGAAGGAAAAGAATTCGTCCGATCCCAGTAATATTTAAGTGTAAGAGGTCGCACAATTAAAAGGAGCGTGTGGTAGTTACCTTAGGTTGAATAGGAGGCTGTCGCGCCATGAAGTATTGGGAAGGTTCGAAAACCTGCCTACCTTATTAAACGGACGACATTTTTCCCAAGTGGCGAGCCGGACCTGTCGGAAGATGAAAGTGACTAAGCAGCCTATGAAATGAAGCTGGGAGTCGACCAACCGCTTTCGTCCTGCAGCAGAAGATACCTAAGGGACTCAATAGGGAGATGTCGCACGTCAAATAGCACTTTGTGATCAACTTAGTAGAGCAGAAATCTCGTGTGTGTGTATTATGTCAAGTTACATCTGTGTGAGTCTCTCATACCCTTAATTTAGGTGGTAAAGACTCTGTTATGGTACTATATCATTTAGATCCTATCCGGTCTTTTCCGGTATCCGCCCCTATTATATCCTGATACCCGAGGCCCGAAGCCCTTAGTTAGGGAGTAGATCCCCCCTAAATCCCCTATAGACCACGTCGTGGTCCTGCCTATACGATATACCCCCTTAGTTAAGGTGGGTCTTCCCAGATTAGCTAACTAATCAGAGGCTTCGGTTTAAACTAAACGCTCTTAGCTTTTTCATTATAAAATTAATAGTTAAGGGAAAAACGCCCTCGTAAAAAGGATCTAAATCCGCTCTATTTAACCGTTTAATTTAATTCTATCTTAATTAGTTCCTCGATCATGATTAGCCGGATCTACTTAATCGGATCTATATCTATCGGATCTACTACGCTCTTAGGGGCCGTCGTTATCGTTATGGCCATAGCTTTAGCTACGGCTTTAGCGTGTTTAATCTCTTCGTACAGTTATTTCGACTACTCGATACAATCCTTTTAATCCGTTAAATTAAGCTATTACTATAGTCTTTTAATCCCTGCCTCTAGTAGTGCTTTTATTAAACCGTCCGCGATTATCTCCTTTGTGTTAACGTATATTACCTTAAAAAGACCTTATTATACTAACTAGCGCGCCTACTAGTTATATATATCGACATGCCGTAGCCTTATCCGTAGGCGTTATGCCTTCTTATTAACGAGGTTAATAGTCTACTAATTATCGTAGTATAGCTATAGCTATTATTAATATAATCGAAGTTCTAAATCCCTTAATATCCGACTAACGAATAATATCTCCTTAACGGCCTTTATAAGAGCGAGCAGTTCTGATTCTATTAACGATGTCGTGACCGTTATTTACTTACCCGCCTTTTAGTTAACGGTACTACTGAAGAGCTTTATCGTATATCCTTATAAACTCTTACGGTCTAGATTATCCCCGAAGGACGTGTCGTTTACGGTTAGGAAGAGTCTATCCCCACCGAATTCTAGGTAATAATACCTTATATAGTATAAGAATAGCAGTATTTATTAAGCCCTCTTAAGGTAATTAGAGGAGGGGTTAACGTTATATTAGGAAAGTTTTAAATGGGCGAACGCGATATCGGGTATTATTATAATAGCGATATACAAGATAGAACTAATTATACCCTAATACTAATAGACCTCAGGAATCGACGCGCGTATACCGTCGCGTAGTATTAACGGCTGTATAGATAATAGGACCTTTAGTGGTTTTCGGTCGAGTATATCTACGTAGTATTTAACCACGATCTTCTCCACGTAGGAGGATTATAATAGCTATAACCTACGGGTGGCTCTATCCCTCAGGACCTTAATTCCTAGGAACTAACGGATTTCTTCGCCACCTAATAGCCTATAGCTCCGCTTAAGGGCGGCCTTAAGGTTATTGGCGTTAATCTTACGGTCTTTATAATATATAAGTCCGATATCGTCGACGTAGAAGAATAGGATTAAACCGTCACGGATTATAATATAGGGGTTATTAGGCACGGCCGTAAATCCTATCTTCTATAGCGTACCGCTAAGTTGCTCTTACTATAGTAGTAGCGATACCCTTAGACCGAAGAGGGCTTTCCGTAGTAGTAGGACCTTACCTAGTACCTCGTAGCGTTACGGTATCTTTATAAATACCTCTTCTTTAAGGCTATCGTTAACGAACGCGTTAACGGTATCGAATTACCTTATCTCTAGATTAAATCGGGCGGCGATCGCTATTAGTATACGGAATAACCGTGATATTAGTATAGCGACGTAGTTATTTTTAGTCTCTAACCGGTTTTATTAATCCCCTTATACTATAAGGCGTACCTTATACTTAAGGAGGGTACCCTCCTTATTAAATTTATATATATATACGTATTTATAGGCGAGGACTTAATGCTTATTAGCCTAATTACCGCTTACCTCCTACTAGTAGCCTATTTATTAGTAGCCTTTAAGGTATTCCCCCTCGGCCTATAACTACCGCTCCCGTAACGAGTATAAATGTATATCACGGTAGTGGTTTAGCGGAGGCGGGAGATCCTCGCGGGTTAGACACGATAAGGAGGCGTTAGAGGGAGAGGGATCTATAGTACTAGCGCCGATAATGTCGCCGTTATTAATAGCTTACTTCCTCCCGCGTATAGGGTTATAAGTCCTTCTAGCGTTAAAGAACGCCTTCTAGGTATTATTATTCTACACCTTCTTAGTCGTGTATAGGCTTACGATAGTTCTCGCTGTAGATAGGCGCGCGGCCGACGGGCGTACGGCCGATAGGCACCCCTTAGCGGTATCTATAGCTATCCGTTAGTAGTTATCATATTCTTCTACCTTAGCGCCCCTAACCACCGCTAACGCTATAAGGAACGCGCGCGCGGGATCTTCCGAGGATATTAGAGGCGTGGGAAACGGTTTAAACCTTATAGTGGTAAACCGTGAAGTGTCCGTAGTAATAGCGGTAGCCTTTTCAGTAGTAATAGCGGTAGTATAGTCTTCGTCTATAATAATAGCAGTGTCTGTAGTAATAACGGTACGCGTAGTAATAGCGGTGATATAGTCTATAGTAATAGTAGTGGCCTGTCTCGCAGTAATAGCGACGGCCTTACCTTTATCCGTAGTAATAGCGGTAGCGTCGCCTTTACCCGTAGTAATAGCGGTAGCGTTAGAGTCTTCCGACTTAAGATCTAATACGTCTACGGCTATACCCCTTAATAGCAGCCTATTCGCGGTCTTATTAGATTAGGTAATACGGATAGATTATAGGCGTTCCCCGATTTCCTTAGGGGAAGCTATAGCTTATAGCGTTTTAATCCTGCTGTTGAATATCTTGTCTTCGTTAAAGACTATATCTCTTATAGTAATAATATCCGTTAGATATAGTAGCTAAATACGGAAGCTATTTAAGGATTAGTATCCGATATAATAACCGATCTATACCTTCGGTTCTAGCCTTTATAGGCGGTTCCTTTTAGCTTAGGTATCGCGCATTTCTATAAAGGCTTTATAGCCGTAAGCTTATAGGTACGTAAGGTTAGGTTAACGGCCGCGTAGGCCTTCGTATAGCGTTCGCTAGTCGTTATTATATTATAGCATCCTGTTATATAGATACATAGTAGTCTTAAAGATCTTAGGCTAGATAAATATAAGCAGATTAGCTCTAATCCATATAGCCCTCGCCCTGCTCTTAACGATACCTTTAATCCATTCTATAACGCCGTTTTAATCCTATAAATATAATACTAACGGCTAGCCTTCTACCCCCTTAGCAGCGAGGAAAGCAACGACTTCTAGGTACTAAAATATCTTGGAATCGGCTTATAGGATATATAGCCGGACGTCGAATTAGATCTTAAGCAGGGTAAAAACGTCTTTTAACGCGTGCAGGATAAAGCCTTAGTCTCTCTTCTACAAGTAGTAATCCCACGTATAACCTATATACACCTCTATAACGAATATAATAGACTTATACAGGCCGCCCGCTAATAACTCCGCCTCTTCTAGATTATAAAAGTTAATAGCTAGGGCCTCTCCGGGCTTTAATGGGTACAAGGATAATATCCGCCGGATCTACGTACGCACTTACGATTACCTATACGCGTTACAGTCCGTTATATAAGGTCCCTTTATCTTTACCCCCTAAGTAGCATCGACGATCTTCGCGAGAGTATCGGTGCTATAATCGCTAAGGCGTTCGTGCCACCGTTATACCGTAGTCTTCTACGGTTACCGCGGTTATTATAATCTCCCCTACCGGTTATCGCGCGGGTGCCTTACTAAGACCGCGAACGCCGTAGCGGCCGTGGCTTCCACGCGCTCGATTATATACTAGCCGTGGATATCTAGTAGCTTATAGATAGGCCGGTCGTCGGCGGAGCTAATAATAGTATCGTTTACGGTATCCTAGCGGTAACCTTATAGGCGTAGCTAGTATTCTAAGACGATATTAATAATAAATTCCTTATAGTATACGATATCACGGAGGCGTAGTAGCCTCTTCGTGCCTAATAGGGATCATATATATAGCTTAACGTCTCTGTATCCGAGGATAAAAGCCTTATAAGTACCCACCTAAAAGGATAAAGATAAAGTATCCGTGGGTAGTCTAATAGCCGTAAAACGGCCTTGATTATTAAAGATATAGATTAACGATCCTAAATCTAGGATCCGTAGTATAATAGCGCTCTAGCTTAATTAATAGAAAGGGATACCCCCTATTCTTATTATAATCTTAATAGTGTCGTCGTACGATAATACGCTACCCCTTAGGTTAGGTGGGCTCCTAGTCCCGTCGCGGTAACGGACAGGTCTTTATAAACTATTATAGTAGTAGGCGTAGTATTATAGAGTTAATCTTCCTGGACTTCCTCTATCTTATTAGCGGTAGTAGCTATTCATTCCCGCCTCTTCTATATCGCGGTATCCACGCGGCTTTTAAAGCTATAATTACGTATCTT